TTGTTACTTTTGTCCCAACCCCTGGGGATTATAGTAACACCGGTATTACCGTATCAACCTCCACTATAGACACTGACAAAACTCATTTTGATCAGTTTGATAGTTCAACAATTATTATTTATTAAAGAAAGGTTGACACTATATTTCAAACAGCTGCAAAATCAACAATTTAAAAATTTTTTTTAAATCTTTCGAGATATTTTTATATATCATTAAAAACTACAACATATCCAAGTGTTAATAAAATCTGAAATGTTACCCCAAAAAGTGTCTAATTTCGCGTGGAGTGCCCCTACGAAATTTTTTGTTATGACTGAGGTTTAACTATAATCTAAATGTAACCCTCATGTTAACAAAGCTATATAAAAGATCGACAGTATTTTATTGATGTTTACGTTTTTACATATTCACGTACGTATTTTATTAAATTTTTTATATATTTACTCAATATTACAATTGTATCCTGAACATTAGCCGTATAATCTTACTATACATATATTCTAAGGGTACATTTTTCAGATTTTGGAAGGAGAAAAGCTGAAAAATATCATGCACTTGATGAACACGTTACTTCTGCAAACGAAACCCTACGAAAAATTTGAACAGCTTGAGTATTTCCGCATCTATCTCCTCTGCGTGCACCCGTCTTATCAAGAAAAAGGGATCGAGGTTGCGCTTCTAGACGTCTGCGTGCAAGTAGCTAAATCCATGCATCTTTTGGCGATTGGTGGTATTTTTACTTGTGGTTCCAGCCAAACGAGAGCTCACAGCATTGGCTTTAAGCTTTTCTCAGAGATACGCTACAATCGATGGATCGTCCACGATCGTGTGGTTTTCGACGATCCGGGCAGGGGAAATTATTCGGCAGCTTTCATGGGTATGCTGACATCGTTCGATGACGAACCGAAAGATCGCGAAACACTTTCGAATGACACACTGGAGAAACGTGATGGGGAAATATCTACTCAGTTGAGTGAAACTCAAAATTCGAAGTTTGTGGTGTCGGAAACAAGCGAAAGCAAATCTTTGTAATAATGAGACTCGGGTTGTTTATAAAAATTCATATTTTTATGGAACTATTTACAAGGAATACAATTCCACAGAAACGTATTCCTCTTATTAAAGGGTTTCTGTAGATCAGTAGCAAAAAATACAATCTCTATTGAAATTTACTTACAGTTTCTATTTCATCATGTTTTATAAACTCCTTGTAGGTGTTGTAAATGCACAATGTCCATAAAATCTACAGTTTAGTAAAACATAATTATTAGCTAGATAAATAAGCGATAAAAATAAGTACATATAAAAAAAGCTTGATTGACAACTAATATTGTGATTATTGAAAAGTAATTAACCGTATTTAATTTTGTATAATTAACAACCTTCCCTACTCGATAATATTCGTAAGAATAAAATAATTACATTTCCTGCAAATGTTATCGAGTAATCAGAGTTAATGCAATACAAGTGGATTCGACTCAAATACCGCGGTCACGAGTTATCGACATCTTCGACGGGGTAAGTAGACTGCTGTTCTACCTACTTTTCCTGCACGTCGTTGAGTCTTTAAAGTGACTGTACGCCCTCTACGAATCGTGGTCCGCTGACACTCCATGCGTGCGGATTGCCATTATTTAGGTCAATTTCTAAACGCTTATAACTAACAAACTAGCGGTCGAACGGGAGCGAGCGAGAGCGGGAGAGCGAGCTGCGGTATCGGTGCTCTCCGTCGGTGTCGACGCGTAACGAACGATGCTGAAGATGGTCGGAGCGGGCGAACGGGAGAGAGCGAGAGCAGTAGAGCGAGCCGCGGTATCGGTGCTCTCCGTCGGTGTTGACGCGTGTCGAGGAATTTCAGGGGTTTATCATAATAAACGAAATAATGTTTATCATAATAACAATCATAAATAAACGAGAGCGGTAGACCGTGCCGCGATATCGGTGCTCTCCGTCGGTCCAACGTACTAGTGACGTTGCGGCATACAGTTTATTGACCTAGCCGTGTACGCCGTGTACCATAGCCGTACCTGGTTGTACCATCCGGTGTTTGGGTCGTTCAAGGAAGGTCGTTCAAGCCGGCAAAAACAATTCAACACGAACAAACCTGCGTACGCCCAATACATAACGGCGTTAGCTTCCTCACTTTCTCGTGAGCCGTCACGGAGGGTGGGCGCGCGTCTCATACTCGTCCTTTCTCTTGTTACTAACCCATTGTTTCTTGCAGGCATTCGACAACCATCAATTTATTTACTGTGCATATTGTTAATTTATTTACTGTGCATATTGTTGTGTCCCCTCTCTTGTTACTAATCCCTTGTATGTTACAGATGTTCGAGAACCATTGGCTTCGATATTTATCTTCTTATGTACTGTGATTCATTTACTGTGATTTATTTACTGTGATTTCTATACTGTGATTTATTTACTGTGCATATTATTAATTTATTTACTGTGCATATTGTTGTGTCCCTTCTCTTGTTACTAATCCCTTGTATGTTACAGATGTTCGAGAACCATTGGCTTTCATATTTATCTTCT